TATTTGGAGTCCCCAGTATGTTTCCTTTCAATATTTACCCGTGAAAACAACTACTTGAAATGCGACCAGAAGCATATCACCTAGCTTACAACCGTCTTGATGGATTATAACAGCCCAACTTCTAACTCTTTTGAAAAATGTTCCAAGATGTTTTTCCTTTCTCTAGTCACTGTTTGCTAAAGTCTTTGTCATTCTAGGTGAAACTTGAACAATTTAAACGTCAACAAATGGCCAAAATGAATGACTAAGTACCTAAGGAGAGACTGGGCACGTCTTTCTCAAAATCCAGCCGTATGACCCCGCCTCAAAATTTCAGGAATAAGAAGTTTGCTCTGATTTAACATTCATGCAAAGTAAAATAAAAATCTGTAAGACCAATTTTTCGCAAGTTAAGAAAATGTGAAATCAAAAATAGCTAAAAATCTGTCTTACAGAATCTTTTTTTAAATTTTGGCTCTAAACGCGATTCACCCCTAAAAATCAACTGTGAAAATTTCAATATGGGTTGTACGGTAGGTTTTCGAGCAATCCTCGATCAAAGACTGGCTTTTACAACCTTGGACGAGAATTGAACTGCGCATGCCCTTTATTTACGCGCGCGCTCATGTGACGCCATGTATCGCGTGCGAGAAAGCAAGAGTAAATTAAAGCTCTTTTACTGGTTGTTTATGGACCTTTTCTGTCATATTTCGTTGGCCCTAGGCTTTAACACGTTTGAAAGCAGTTTGAAACTATTGCTACGTATACCGAAGTGATTTAATGCCTTTCAAGTCCTGAAGTTATTTTCGTTTTTCTTAGGGTTACTTGCGTCATTTTTGCGCGCTCGACCAATACTAACGTCTGGCAGGCAATCGTAGCGCGCGCTACTGAGTCTCGGAAAAATTGTAATAAGCCACCCTCAACGCTTCTAGGTAATATGCTTCTGATGCGACTTACTGACTGACTGACTGACTGACTGACTACTGACTGACTGACTACTGACTAACTGACCACTGACTGACTGACATACATGGACAGACAATCAAAATGACAGATATAAACGACAGAAAGAATGAGAGAATAATAAAAAGTGAGAAAATATTTTGAAACAAGTAAACAAACTCTATTAGGACATGGGACAATATTATTGCTTGAGCAGGTAAACGTAAATTAAAATCGAACAAACCTTAACATAAAAAAGACAACACCATACCTACTTCAGGTTTATTTCTTGCCAACACTTACATGTATTAAATGCATCATTTCATATCATGATCCTAAAGAAACATTTTAAGGCTTCTTTGAGCCTTTGAATTATAGCGTCGTAATATATTCACAACATTGGATAAAAACATTTCAATTGGAGAGAGTCACAGGTTGGGGGTTTGCTCTTTGCAGCCATCGTTTGAGTAATCGTCACACAACACTCGAGAGAAACATGGCGTGACAATCTAACCAGCTGTGAGGCACGTGACTTAAAATCACGCGCTGCGACCTGCGCAACGCGACGTGTCACGTGCATGGCAAAGAGCAGCATCGTAACTGCATTTTCCCTAGCATTGTACATAATTACGACTAGCCAAAGCTTCTCAATTTTCACATTATCAACAATACATTATTAAATAAAAATCGATAATGAACCGATGTTAAAACAGCGTGTTTTGGTTTAGGTAGGGGCTGATCGTCCCCGTCAACACCTGTGGAAATGTCAAAGGAATAGGAAAGAAGAGGGGGTGGGGGGGAATAGGAGCCTCGAGTTCCCATTGGGGGGAGGTCCGACTGTGACTCTTAGCAAAAATAATGCGATTTCGACCCATCTCATTATTAACAATCGCGAGCACANGACTTAAAATCACGCGCTGCGACCTGCGCAACGCGACGTGTCACGTGCATGGCAAAGAGCAGCATCGTAATTGCATTTTCCTTAGCATTGCACATAATTACGACTAGCCAAAGCTACTCAATTTTCACATTATCAACAATACATTATTAAATAAAAATCGATAATGAACCGATGTTAAAACAGCGAGTTTTGATTTAGGTACAGGCTGATTGTCCCCGCCAACACCTGTGGAAATGTCGCAGGAACAGGAAAGAAGAGAGGGGGTAGGGAGAGGAATAGGAGCCTCGAGTTCCCATTGGGGGGAGGTCCGACTGTGACTCTTAGCAAAAATAATGCGATTTCGACCCATCTCATTATTAACAATCGCGAGCACAGATGTGACAGTTTTTTGGAATACCAAAGCTCGTTCGATGGGGTAACGACCACGACTTTGATACCAAAAAATTGTTTTCAGATGTCTACAAATAAAGCTATCTAACCACTCTAAACTCTAAACTCTAAATTCGCAAAGCCAGCTTACAGTGAGTCTAGTCTCGGTATGCACGTAAGAAAGAAATCAACATATTACAAGGTCTGATTCTCAACCTCACCCTGGGAGCGAGGTTGTCCGATTCTTGCTCTTTTTTTGTACACTAAAATATATCCACTTACTGTGGCAAGTAATTTATCAAGAAGTAAACCACTGAAGGTTTCCATAGCTCCTCTGCCCTCCCCACTCTACAATTTTACAATAAACGGTTCTACAGCGCATTATTTTCGTGAAAACCAAACGTTGTCTTGACCTTATGAGTAAGCTTTGAGACCATGCCCACACTACGCCGGAGAAATTTGAAAACGGCGTTTTCACTCTCAAAAAACGCAACAATCAAGGTCATTTTGGACTTGCGTTTGAGGAAAACTCGGGCAGGGACATCACGTGATTATCGTGACGTCATCGTTATTAAAAAGCTCCGTTTTCAAAATGTCTTCCGTTCACACTAAAACGCAAAGGCGTTTTCAAATTACTCCGGTTTGAAGAGCGTTTCGAAAAGTTCCGTTTTTAAATTTCTCCGGCGTAGTGTGAATGGGGCCTGAGGTATAGTACATATCGTGAATTACCTGTAATCAGGTTATTTATTGACTTAATTCATCTGCCGCAGTGCAGTCGACTTTGCTACGGTGTTCGAGTCTTAGTCTAAACGATATTTTCGTGTTTTCACGAGAACTAGCGAGCTTCTTTAATATTTCTATTACTCTAAGTTTTTTTTCCCCAAGGTCGTTTCGACGAGTGTCTACTACAAATTTTACCCAAAACTGAGTGATCAAACTATCCATTCTTATTTCGGTCGACTCGCGCATCATTATTTGCAGTTTACTCCAAATCACACGCAACGAGCTCTTTTTGGGTTAGCACCTTCTGTTGTTCATGATTTTGTTGTTGCTGATGTTGTTGGTGTCGCCATTGTTGTTACTGGTTCTACTTGAATTGACACAACAAATACACAGGACTACACGTGCTAGGGAACTACCTAGTCTTGTAATGCTCATAACTTCTTTAGTCTTTCCAAAATGTCCTGCGCTTCGTCTTCGAGTTCCTCTTCGGTCTTATCACCTCCACGTTTGGCATCTCTCCTCCGCCTGGAGGGAGCGGCGGGTTGATTGCCATCATCATCGATTTTGATATCTACCGCGTTATGCTGCTGATCGATCGCGTTCTGCGCTTCCATTATTTTCTGTATTGGTATATTCGTGCGAGTCCGTGATCGACGCAAATCCACAGGGCGAGCTGAAAAGTAACGACAACATTTGACAAGTTAAGCAAGTCAGTCGATGCAAAAAACGCGCGTGAAAAATTGCGTGACAATGTGGCATTTCGTGACAATGTTCGTGACACACGTAATCTTACCTTTCTTACCACCCGCCTTTTTTCGTGCGGGCCTGGTAGGATCCCTGAATGCTGATCCAGTATTGAGCGCCTCCATGAGGCCGTCTAACACTCCCTCTTGATCATCATCTGCAGTAAACAAAACAAAACATGACCTATAGTACACAATCGAACCGGACTTTAATTACATATCAAAGGTCAGTGCCATCTGTTATAGCGTTTTAAACCCAACAACGAAAAACATGCAACGATGTCGGGCGCGGAAAATAAACACAATTCTAGATGTTACTAGTTCCAAGTGTCTGTGAAAGGCGGGAAAAGGCAACCGCGGGGAAAAAAAGCGGGAAAACATGAAACCAGTAAGTAGCTGGGATATCAAGTAACCCGGTGGTACAAAGGGCGGGAAAACATGTGACGTAAACCATCCCAAGCGCGGGGAAAACATGCAAGCTATGAAAAGCGCGGTAAAAAACAAGAAGTAAACCACAATTGCTGACTGCCACAGCTTTCCAACAATATTGGCTCTTTTAGGCAAAACACTACCACAATTTGAGTACAAACCAGCATTCATGTCCACAACAGGTTTTCGTTTGGATTTTTCAGCCTCCATTCGCTTCTTTCTTTCTTTTTCCTTTTCCTGCAATTGAAAAAATCTCGATTGTTTAGGAAATACGGTC